AAGGGTCTTCACCTGAACTTTTAATGGAGCAAAAAATCACTCCCAAAGTTGCACTTAGAGTAATTACTGAGATGAGTAAGCTAGTTAGAGTTTTAGCTTTAGCAATTCATACTATATGTACAGCTTATAATTGTTTAATAAAGTACATATAACTAGCCTGATAGAGGGTTTAAAAAAAAAATAATAATTATAAGTGTTTTTTGAATTCAAATAAAGATAATTTAATAATGTTTTTAATTGATAATAACTTGTTTACTAATTTTAATGCAAAAAATTTAAAATATTTAATTTGTATTACTTATTAATTTTTATTAATAAATATATAAAAAAATTAAAAATTCTAAAATAATCAAAATTAAAATTTTTTGATAAAAATATAAATTTATTTTATTTTAATAAAAATATATTAATTATAATATTATAAAATAATCAAAATTTTAAATTATATATTATATATTATATATAAATTTATTTATTTTATAATATTTAATAAATCAAATTTATATAAAAAAACTTTTTTGTTTATTCCTTGATTATATATGAAAAAAAAAAATGTTTGCAAGAAGTTTTTTTACTTCTTTGTTAATAAAGTCTTAAAATTTTTTATTAAAGCAACTTAAAGTATAAGTTTAAAAATTATGTTTACTTATTTTTTTTGTTTATAAATCATTTTTCTCAAAAACTTGAAAAAAAAAAACTAATTAAAAAGTAGGTAAAGACTTTTTTAATCTTTAAAATAAAAGATTATAAATATTTTATAATATATAAAAACTTATTTTTTTTTTTATTTTTTAACTGCTTTAATTTTTTTAGAGTTTTCACTTTTGGGATTTTTTAAAAATTTTACTTATTTCGATTTGATTTTAAATTTTATATAACACAAATTTTCATAAAAGATAATCGGTTAATATAAAACATATTAATTTTAAGAATATAAACAAGTTTTTATTAGTTATACTTATATGTTTTGATAATATTATTAATAATTAGAAAAAATATTTTAAAAATATTTATTCTTTAGAAGTTTAAACTCTTTAATAAAGAACTTTATAATACTAAAAAACTAAGAAACAAATAATATAAATTATAAATTTCTATATTTTTCTTAAATTTTTAAATAATTATAAAGTTTTAATAAACAAAAGTTAAGGATTAAATATATTTTTTTAGATATCTCAATCTGGTACTTACATAAATAAAGAATCAGTTAGATTGATTTGTTTATATAATAACTAATAGCAAAAATGATTTTTTAAAAGTTCAAGTAAAGTAAAAAAAACTGTTTCAATTAAGTAGATTTTTTTTAAAAATAAGTTATTTTTATTTTTAAAAATTTTTAATAGATATTAAATTGTTTTATTTTTAATTATTTCTTTTTTTTTTTTTAATTTAACAATTTATTGATTTTTGGATCAATTGATAGTAACAAACTATTAATAATAATCTTAATAAATAGAAATTAATTCAGTCATATCAAGAAAAGTAATATTGTTCTTAAAATCTGACTTAATATACTTTATATAATATTAGGTACTTTATGAAAATTTATAATTATTATAAATTTTTTTTTTTAATTTTTCAATAAAAACAAATTATTATAATATAATTATTAATTGATAAAAAAAAAGTTAATAAGGAATATTTATATATTAGTAAAAAGATAAGTTTTCCAAATATTTTTTTTGAAATCTTTTTATTTAGAAATAACTAGATTTTTTAAATATTAAAAATTAGAAAATATTTCAATCTATAAATATCTTTTAAAAAAGTTATTAAATAAATTAAAATTTTTTGAAAATATCTTAATTGTTTTTTTTTTAAAATTTTTTTATTGATCATCTGATTACATATAAAAAAGATATTTGCAAAAAATTTTTCATTTCTTTGTTAATAAAGTTTCAATACTTTTCTTAAAATAACTTGAAATATGATTTCAAGAATTATTTCTATATTTCTCCTCTTGTTTATAAATTTCTTTATTTAAAAACTTGATTTCTGATAATTAAAAAAAAGTCAAATAATATCTTTAATATTAATAAAAAGAAAGTTTTCAAAAAAAGAAAAACCAACTATAAAGTATTTGAAAGCCTTTTCAATCTTTAAAGTGAAAGGTTATAGAGGTTTTATTGCAGTAAAAAAAATTATTTTCTCTCTTTTTGATTGTCTAAACTCTCTTAGAACTTATATTTTCATATTTTCTGAAAAATTTTGTTCACCTTAATTTAATTCTAAATTTTAAATAGTTCAAATCCTCACCAAAGATAATTGGTCAATATAAAACATATTAGTTTTTAAAATATAAACATGCTTCTATTGGTTATACTCATATATCTTAATAATATTATTAGTGATTGAAATGAATATTTTGAAAATATTCATTCTTTAGAAACTTAAGTTTCTTAAAGAAGACATTTATAATATTAAAATATTAAGAGATAAATAAAGTAAATTGTAAATTCTTGTTTCTTATTTAAGTTTTTAGTTTAAATTAGTCTAATAGATTATATATATATTTTAGATAATATGATTCTTTAAATAATAATACAGTATACAGTATAAAAATAAGTTGATTATTATATGAAAGTTAATAATTTATTAAATTTTCATTTAAAAATATATGTATAATAATATAATTATAAGTGAAAAATTTTTTATAAAAAATATTTATAGAAATTTTATATAATTGAATATAAAAAATTTTATAAAAAAATTGAATTAAAAAATTTAATAGAAATATTAAAAGTAATAAAAAAAAAACAATATATTTTAAAAAAAATTTCAAATAGTATTAAACTAATTATAGTAATAAATTACTTTTTAACTTGATTAATTCTTTTTTCTTTTTAAAATATTTTCTATTTTATGTAAGGTTTTTGTTTATATTTATAAACTATATATAGTATATCTTTATTAAATATATAAAATAGTTATAATATATAATAAATATATCAATTAGAATTTAAATTTAATATCTGTAATTTTTTTATTTAAATATAACTTAGTTAATTGAAATTTTTTTTAATATCGATAGGTCTTTATATTTTTTAAGATAACAATTGCTATAGGATATTTGATTTCTTTTTAAAATTCATTTTATTAGATTTATTAAGAAAATATAAAAGTAATTTAGTATAGAAAGATTCTTTCAAATATAGTATTGATAAAGCATGATAAATCAGCGTTAAAATAAACTATATTTATATGTTTTTTATTAACTTTAAATCAATATTTAATTAAAATTCCTAATTAACTATTAATAAAATTTCGATATTCTGCTACTATTCATAAAAATATAAAATCAATAATTATTTATCAAATTATAATGAATACATCAATTCAAAAACTTTTGCACTAAACTATAATCATTGAATTTAATTTATTATGATTTACTCAATTAACACAATTCGTTATGTGCACTATTCATCAATAAGTATTTTAGCACTATATTTTTTACAATATCCAATGTGCTAATTTATTATTTACAACAATAATTTTCATAACCAATCCCCTTAATAGTATTAATGGAATAGAATATTGGAAGGCAATGTGTTCATAAATGCTTAAAAGATAAATCAATGATTAATTAATTTAAATGATAGTAATTTTTTAACCCTTGATTATAAAGTAAATCCAAAATATTGATCGTAATCACTTTCCGCGCATGTTATAATGCAAAACACACGTAGGCAAACAGAGGAGGGAAATCTAATGAGCGCCTTTCTTATGGTACGAAATGTAGCCATCCGATCGAGCTTCGTCGGCTTCAGCGTCTTCCAGCATTTCTTTGGATCTTTGCTCACGTTCTTTTCTAAGTTTTTTGAGCAAACAGTCCCTTCGGGAAATATGTAAGTCCCTAATGCATCGACTCACCATTTTTCCTGGCGCATCAATGCCTCCTTCTTTAAGGTACGCTTTGAATTGAGGAAGATGTAAATTTTCCATATACGGTTTGAACTCAGTCCATGTGAGCTCGCCGCTTTTGAGTTTTTTCGACGGTTTCACTTCGATGTAATCGAGCAATGCTTTCTAAAAATAAGAGTAAGAACATCTCGCGAAACGGTAACTCGAAACGAACTTAAAATAAAGTATTTTAAATACCTTGACAGTTTTCAGCAATTCTTGATCGGCCGTTTCTATATCAAATTCATCTTCCGAGTATGAATCTTCATCTTCATCGTCGCTAGAATCTTGAGTACGTTTTTTGGAAGACATTGAAGAACGTTTTTTAGAAGACTTTGAAGGTTCTGATCGTTTAGCCTGTTGTTTTTTTTGAATTTTATGACGTCCTTTTGCAGGTGAATGCTGAATCTTCACTTTTTCCACTCGATGTTGGAGCAATGGTCGCCTATTATTACTTGGAGCTACAACATAAGCCGAGTTTGAAGTTTGTTCCTGCATGTGTGTCAAAGTCAACGGCAGATTTTTCTCTTGACGATTTATATGCTCCACTCGATGAGTAGACTTTTGGAAATGTGTCGTGTGATTGCCAGATATTGTTTCGTGCTTGGTGACCACAGGCTCGCCTTGCGACTCACAAGGTAACGCTGAATTGTGTATAACGGATATATTAGTAGTACTAACTCTTGTGGTAAGCGGTCTCTCGCTGATTATGGGATCTATCAAATGAAATTTCATGAGGAAATGTTAATGATTCGCATTTAATAAGTCTTCTCAAAGTATTTTCGGTCGCACTTGAGAATATCTTCCTGCACGACCATAATAATGCTCAAAATATGAAACGTTAATATACTTTGAATATGTTTTTTTACTTCTAATAATCCATTATGTCGAATCCCATCAAGCTTAATGATAACTTTCTGTCCGAATTCCATATTTTCGCGTGAAGGTATTTTTTTTTTTTGTAAACAAAAAATATAGGTTTGCTGTAGTAAAAAGAACCCTTATTTATATACTTTTTTAAATATACATTCCTGCGGTCGAGTTTCCATATATAGAAATCGAATGATTATTGGCCAAATCAATTAATTTGTAAAATGTAGCACATGACATAATTTAGTGTAGATCAGGTGGCCCAAGAGGCTCAAAAGGCCCAGGCGGTCTAGGAAACTCAAACAACCCATTTTATAAATATATTGGTAATAAGATTGGATATCTTTATTTAATATTAGAATCAAAGAAATAAAACCTATTTTTCAGCATACTCTCTCAACAATGAAAAACAAAATATCTTCAAAACACTATGACAATGAATTACAGAGGAAAAAAAGAACAACTTCCAGATAATAGTTGCAGGTGATTTCAACACAGTAAGCAACCCTATCCTAGACAAAAAAAGCATCCAAAAGAAATATTGATCAATATTCCCCTCAGCATTACATATACAATATTTGATAGAACAAGGTTTTGTTGACACTTATAGAGAACATAATCTCTTACGCAAAGAGGACACCTGACACAATCTCCAAAACAGTAGCAGAATAGATCAAATATGGATGCTACTCTCTCATATATAGCAATCCAGAGAAGCATATATTATATCTGATATCAGAGACCTAACTCATAACGATCACACTGGTATATTAACTGAAGTAGAAGCATAGCAACTAGACAAACCAGCCAGTAAACCCAAATGTATCCCAATTAAAGATTTAATTGAAACAACACCAGCAAGGAACTTTGGAATAAATTTGCCACATAAGTGGAGGAGGATGTCATACACTTAGATGAATTATTAGATATTTCAGATATTAACCAATTATGGAACAAGTTCACACATATAATACATCAAGCTGTAAAGAAACATATTCCCAAACACAAACCATACAAAAAACCTAGAATCCAAGAACAACAAAAGGACACCTTTCAGAGAATTGCAAAGCTTCACAATAGCATTCAACAGATGCATACACTAAAGCAAAGCTCATCAGATTATACTCAGATTGAGATACTGCAAACAATCAATAATATCTCAACAGAGTTATTCCAGGAACTAACTAATCAACAATTTATCTCATCTTATGACTATATAACTAACTGGATAAAAATCACTCAAGACTTTAGCAAGAAACTCAAAATAGCAGCTAGATGGCTCACTGATCACAGAAAAAAGCAAATAATAAAACAATTCTCTATTATATGCCAGACCATGCTAGCAAATCAAAAGAAAGTGATGATCAATAGCATTCTTGACCACTCCACAAGATCAATTATACTGGATAGAATGATCATTCAAGATACAACAACATTGAAATCATAACAGATTCCCAAAAAATCTGCACCCAAATCAGAAAACATTTTGAACAATGGACATCCAAAAGAAACATAGTCCCACTGCATCTATATCCTTTTTGGCAAGAGATATACAATCCCAAAAAAAATGTACAGGCTATATGGTACTAAGAAACTTTAATCCCAATAACATTGCAAGAACTTATCCAAATAATAAAATATAGAAGCTCACAATCAGTTCCAGGAAGAAACACCATACCTTATAGAGCTTACAAGCACATGAAGAAGAAAATACTCAATCTTCTTCTTAGAATTTTTAACAACAATTTTAGTATTAGGCAACACTCCTAAGGAATAGAGTAAAGATCTTATTTATCCAATTCCTAAATCCAAGGATTGAAACAATAATCTCAACATTATAAGATCAATCACGCTCCTAGATGCAGATAGAAACTCCTTACAAAAATAATAACAGATAGATTGACAGATAGTATAGCAAAACACTCTATTTTATGTGAGCTAAACTAGGTGGCACTACCTGACAGCAGTACACAAGATCCAATTCATATAATCAATAACATTATTGAAGATGTCAAAGAATTCCACAAACAAGCCTGGATACCAAGCCAGGATATGTCTAAAGCATATGACTCAATCAATATTGAAATGCTTCACTTGGCATTACAATGTATCAAAGTTCCAAGACAAATTACAACACTTCTCACAAACTTGCTCAAAAACCAAACAAATATAGTCATCACATGTCATGAACTTACAGAAGAATACACAGTACTAGATGGAATAGATCAAGGTGATACCATCTCCCCCCTATTGTAAAGAATCTTTTATGACTCTCTTCTCTTCACAATTCAAACAACATGTAGAGGCTACACAGTCTCATCTTATCACACAAGGTATATAGACCAACCCACCATTCACAAAACAATATCAATTCCTACAAGTGCATATATGAATGATACTATATGGCTAGCAGAAAACAACACAGACCTTCAACATATTTTAAATATTGCTGAACAATTTTATTATATCAATGATATACAGGTCAATCCACAAAAGTCCTTCTTCATCATTATTAATGGCAATCACAGAGACAGGACAACAGGTATACACTTGAATAATCAATGCATCACAGGCTATGATAACAACATCCCTGTTCGAATATTAGGAGTATGATATAACGCAACAGCCTCAAAGAAGCATCAAAAACAACTTATCAAACAAAAAATCTTACAAACATGCTCAGTTATAGGAAGCAAAGACATCACTGATGAACAGATGCAATACATTATTAACCATATGTTATACCCCAGTATAAAGTACTTGCTAAATAACCTAACTCTTTCCGAAAGTACATGCAACAGATTGTCCAGCAAACTGGTAAGCATATTCAAGCAAATAGGACTAGCAAATACAATACCCAACAATGTCATCTACAATCTACTTGAATATGGTATCTTTCATTTATGGAATAGACAGCTTCAAGTACATGCATCCAACTGGATTCAAAGAATCAATCAAAAGAACATCACAGGTGACCTAGCCAGATACTGCTTGTAACAGGTATAGAATCATTTCTAGTCAACAAACAGTATTCTTGCACACTACACTACACCTATTATGGCAGCAGGAAAGAATTTTATATACAATTTTATCCTGTTACTTAAAAAACATAGATTTAACTTCCTCTTGAATGAATGCAAACTTGCAATTACAATAATACACAAAGTAGACATAATAATAGAAGATATCGTAACTTCACAGTTCTATCATATACATAGAAAACAACTTGTCAAATATAACCTTTTATTCATAGGACAAATACTAAATACTAAGAGAACCCACACACTTCATTAGCTACAGATCATTAGATATAGAAACAAACAACCTCCAGGATATACTCCAGAATGGTTTACCAATCTTCAACACAAAATAAATGATCCTACAATTAAAACACTATACCTACAAATAATGATGTATCCCTAAAGTATTTAACATATAAAATTTTGCAGATTACTTATGTCCTTTTTTGAGGGACAAAATTTATGGCTCTTCACTTTAATAGGGACAAAAGTCAGAAAATGTTATAAATCAATGATTTGAATAATAGGAAACAATTGTGAGTAGTTTTTTTATAGTTATTAATTTAAAAATTTTAATGTTTCCTAGTAAGGGACATTTGACTTTTGTCCCTGCCTCCTCCTTTAGGGACCCATCTTTACCTACAAAGCAATAATACAAATTTTTTACTCCAAAGTACTAGCTTAATAGAGCATCACACTCAACAACTACACTAGGTAGCAACTTATATAAGGGATACAATTATTATTAGCAAGAAAAAAAGAAATAATTTAGATGGTAACATAACTTACACACACTACCACAATACAACAAATAATGAATTACTACTCAGCAAATGCAATGGATTCCCTTTGAATAAAGGGGGCAATAATCAGAACTGTTTATTCAACACTAAGGTATAGAAAGCTATCAGAATTCCAGTTATGGCAAGTCACACATTCATCTCTCAACATTCCATCCCAAATGGAAATCTTCAGTATAGATCAAAAGTCATACCAGAATCAATCCACATCATATTAAATCAGATATACACAACTCAACAAGCCTATAATCAGCCACCAACAGTAAACATCTCCCACAATGCAATATCTTCACACATTACAATACACCTCATCAGTAGCCAAGACCAAATTTCTGATCTCATAACCATATCCAAAAAGATAACTATATACTTACACTTCAAAATCTATACAGATGGCTTTCTCAACAAATAGAACAAAAAACCATACATGGGATTAGGCTGGATTATTATCACTCCAAACAATAAAGAACACATATTTAAAGCCCAAACCCATATACACCCCTCATTCTTAAGAGCAGAAATTATGACCATAACAACTGCAATATTAACCTTGCTAGAAAATTCAACAGCCGACATTTTCACAAACAGCCAAACAGCAATTAGTTGTATTCAATAGACATTGGAAGCCTCAGCATCATGCCTTATCAGAAAACAAAAGAACTTTCACATGCTGCATACCATAAAAGATACCTGTATTGCAAGACATCTCAAATTGCAAATGCATAAAGTTCAAGCCCACTCAAGTATCAAACATAATGAACAAGCAGATCAATTGGTCTCAATAGGCATAGAACCACAAGAAATGTGTCCGAGCACCAGTATCCTTAATATTCAACTCACAAATATATATAACAATACAGTGTAACAACACCCAAATCGACATATCTGCAAAGAACATTTGCAAAAAGATCATCCAGGTAAAGTATATTGCACAATAGCACTTACTTAATTAGAACACTTACAGACTTTACTGGACAATACAAACATATCTATTGGCAAGAAACATATAACCACCTATATCCATCTCAGATTAGCAACACAAATA